TGTTATCTGAGGACAAGAAATTGAGATGTTGTTGCTGACCTCTGGCTAGAATCTATGTTTAATATTATCAATATTTTCAAAGACTTAACACCAAGATTTTAGACAATCATATAAATTGGGGTAGGGAGGGATTAAAAAAATGTTGATGATTTGAAATTGCATGTTGATTTGAATTTGTAACAGACATAAAAGTCATTGGTAGCAGTCAGTTTTATACCTGGTTTTAAATAAAGCAGAAAATGTATTTATTATAGCTTTATACTTGTGCAGTGACATCATGTACGCTTTTTTACAGAATTTCTAGGGTAGGGCAAAAATACTTTGGACAATACTGGTTGAAGTTTCTATAATGATGCTTGTTAGTTACCGTTTGAAACTAAATTGTAAAGTTCCTTCCAAGTGGTCCATTTTTAATAGGATTTTGATGACTTATATTTGATAATGATAATATTTTTTTTAAGACATTCTCAAGTGCATTAAAGTTTCATGTAACATTTTAGTAGTTGCAATTGGATACGAAGGAGCGTGACTTAAAACTTATAGATAATGTATAAAGACAACCGAATCTTTGCCGAGTGATAAATAAATATACACTGAATCTGTGCCTGGTGTAAATTAATTCAGTTCAAATTCATACTGATCAAATTTTATCTAGCAAATCGTGTATTGTCATATTAGATTTATATTTTAGCAAACTTGTCGGGTGACGTTCTCAACTTTCAAGAGGAGGATGCATCCTTATAAATCTATGTATTGTCATTCACGATTGGACGGTTGACGATTTTCACTGATAATTTTCTGTCTGATCGATTTTGGTATTTTGTCAAAAATTTCACCCGCAGAGTGGCGTTTATTTGATTGTCGTGGTGACAAGGGATAGATTGCTTTGAGATTTAATGAACAAGAAAAGGTATTGTAAAGATTTTATAAGATTTCTCGATAATGATCGTTGTTACATAGATAGTTACCGATTGAAAAATGTTACCATAGCGATCATACTGTGCAATTAAAATATATTGATTTTTGAACAAGAAATAAAAAAAAAAGTGTTCTACTTTCAAAGTTTTCTGGATTAATCAGAAATTCACAAATTAATAACACTTTGTTGACTAATATGGGTTTTTTTCAAGATTATAAAGTATGATTTTGATTTAAATTTTGTACTTGATTGTCATTGACACATGGACTTTATTGATACATTGTTGTGAAAGGAAAAAGTAAAAAAGGTAACTAACTATATACTTAATATACAATCTTAAGTTTAATTAATTTGATACACACAAACAATATACATGTAATGTTGATGCTGACATAATGTTTTATTTTGTACATGATACACTGATTAGAACATCAGCTGTATATGTAGGAATAAATTTATTGGAAAAATAAAATTGAGTGCACATGTAAGTTGATGGTTTGCAATAAAATATAATTATGAAATGAAGTAATATGTAGGCAATATAATAGAATATATTATTGCTGAATGAATATAGCCTCGTTCTTGAGAACAAACATTATTTATTCTCCAACGAAAATATTTTTCGATTATTTTTTTAAAGAATTTTTGGAAGGAGAATATGATTTATGCTGTAACTATTTTAAGTCAGTCCAAATCAATGCTGTAACACTGTTGATCTATTATTAACTGATTATATGTTTATTGTGCAGAAGGCCTGCTGTTTTTCATGCTTTCACCTGTCTTTTGCCAGACATTTTGGTTTAAACATATTTATTTAAGCTCGATTGCGAAACAAGTTCTTGCAACTTATATTAATCACTTTCGAGTCCGCTTCCTGGAACCAACCAGTACTGGTGTCATATGAAGAAACATGGTCGTGACCCGAGTAGGGCTCGAACCCATGATCTCTGGGTTGAGAGGCAGACACCTTAACCACTAGGCCACCTCTCCCCTTCAAATGCCAGACATTTTATGCTGAGAGACATAATTTGGGCTCTCCATGTTGTGCTGTCTTTTTACCCTATTTTACTTATCAGCTGTTTTGTTATGCTGTTACACTGTTACTGTCCACAGAGCTGTTGTTTTTATGCTTGAATTGTTTATTTGTTTTTTATGCTAAGAAATGGTCAGTGCTTGCATTAAATTAAAAATTAGCATTATTTAATTAATATTTCTTAAATAAATTATCTAACGAAAATTTATTTAGGCCAAACAAGTACAAAGCATGATGATCAGACAGAGTACCGGCTGATCTTGGTCTGCACTGGTTGCATTGATAGAATCCATAGAGCTGTTATTTTATTTAAATTTTTCGAATGCCGGAAATGTAATTAGTTCTGGCACAACTATAGAACCAGATCTGCTCAGTTTTAATTACAAAAAACAACAGGCAATTTCAAATTCTAAAGCTGGACAAGTTGATTATTCAGTAAAGGTAACATAATCTGTCATTATAATCATGCTGTTCTTCTAATCATGTCTCAGTTTTGTAAGTTTTTGATTTTTAAAAGACCATGAAAATTGTCTTTTGTGCGTCAGGATAAGAGGATATCTTACGAGCTGTCATTTTATCATTAGATAGCAGTTGCTGTCTATTTAACACTGTGTATACAGTTGTAATTGTTTTAACGTAGTTGCTGTCGTTTTAACAGTATGTCTAGTTGCTGTCATTTTAGCATGATGATTGTCTGTTTGCTGTCATTTTATCATTATATGAAGTTGCTGTCATTTTAGTATTATGATTGTCTCGTTGTGTCATTTAATCATTATATGAAGTCTAGTTGTGTCATTTAATCATTATATGAAGTTGCTGTCATTATTTCATTATGATTGTCTAGTTGCTGTTATGTTAACATATTATGTCTAGCTGTTGTCATTTTAACAGTATATGCAGTAGCTGTCATTTTATCATTATATAATAGTTGTCATTACAATTTTTTGGCATGAAAAAAAGGGAATGAAAAAAATTGAAAATTCTTAGAAATTAACAGTTACTAATCATAAGAATTTCCTTTTCTAATAACAGTGATTTATAAAGTTATAATTAGGCTAGTTACAGAAGTTTTACTTAACGATACAAGGATTAAAACTTCATTTAAATATTGATCCTAGTCGGCTACTTATTGCGTCGTTATTTAATTGACAACTAAAACTTCCTTTTAAATTTTCCAATTTCTATGGTGATCGTCTGTGGTATAAAAACTGATCTATTCAAGGTATTTGGTTATAATAGTGGTCAAAGTACTGTAACTGATTATTGAAAAAGGAGGTAGATGCATCGTTCTTCAACCAAACTCTAATTTACACGTATAGATTTCAAAATTTTATAATAAAGGTTTAAAACGTTTCCATGCATATCAAAAGATCGATCAGATTTCGGGGTGAAAAATGGAATTCGACCTTTTAAAGATAATGTATTCAAAGGTACGAATAGATTGTTTGTGTATAGATATATTGATGCGAGATGGTGGCAGGTATCGGTAAACACGATGGTCGCAGCTGTGCGAAAATTAAAAAGTAGGAAGGACTTTTGTTCCAAGTGATAGTTGCGGAAAATGATAAACGGCATTAATCAGTCGTAAAACTTGCTGCACGATGTGTTTAACAGAAACTTAAGTCTCTTGAATCAAGAAATAAGATGTTTCCCCATTGAACTTAAATTCTTCCTTTTTTATTTGACTGTTAAAACCATTGTTGTATAAGTCTTAAGCTCTATATTTCTACAATTAAAAATCAAGTAAAGGAAAATGCAAATTTTATGTTCTGAAATTCTACCCGATTGAGATTGAAATTCATTTCTTTCGGTAAATATTGGATGTTTCTTTTGAATATGTGATACAGCAGACATCCCAGTGTCATTTTAAAGATCATTGGGTTTCAATAAAAATGCTAAACCATCGCTATAAAATTGCAAAATTTGTTGATCTACGCATTTATTGCGATATCGTACACTTCAGCATCTTCCGTTGACCTGATTTAATGAGCATGTATTCAGTATCGTCCCATTGTAATGAATCTTTTGTAAAATCCAATACCCTCGTAACAATGATTGATTTCACACTGTTCAACCTCCCGTCACATACCTATAGTCTCGATTTTTAAAAATGGATCAAAATAGCTATTGTCAGTGATTTCCCCACATGCACACAGGTGCGAAAGTGGCTTTTTTAATGAATAATGTGCTCCTGCATTAACGATGGAATTTCCACATAATGGTTTAATTTCTTTCGTTCATAGAAGATTTGAATGCTTTAAGGAAGGTGTGTCTCTTTGCTCCCTTAGAAAATGTCAGAAAAAAGATGTCAGTAAAACGTAACTATTAGTAAGACTTTATGTCTGCTAATGTTTCAATTAAAATTTCAATCCAATTATAGTTTTCAAAAAGGCATAACCTTATGTTCTGTCTCTACCGAGCATGTGTTTTGCTTCTATAGAAAGATTGAAAGTGAATTAAATCATGTATTAGATTCTATTTTCTATATAGTGATTGTGGGAGGATTCTTAAGACATTTAAAACTTTAAAATTATATCAAATTTAGTTTCTGAATATTGATTAGGTTGGAAATAATGATTTGATTCATTAATTTGTCTTTTGCCAGGGTGAATTTTAGTTACATTTTAAGCCATAAAAAACTGAACTCCTAAATGAACTTGACTAGTTATTTTGAAGGAAATGTCTATAAGTGATTAAGATAAAAATTTAAAAGTAGTCAGCCAACAGTATAGAGCCTGGTCAAACTGCATGGATGTGCAGGTTGGCCTACAAGTGGCAAATGGTTCTAGCAAGTTAAACTTTTGAATACAGTGATAAAGTGACTTGCCTGTGTTACCTGTTCAACCTTCACATCACACTTTAGTTTGAGGATGTTAGTTTTATCATTTTCATATTTAAGTCACTTTAATGAACAATAAAAAGTCTCTTTAATGAACAAGGGACAGTTGCAGTTTCATAGCAAGGCAACTTTTAGGCAAGTGCATTGCATAAATTTAGCGAGGGAAAGGTTTACTTTAACATTAAATATTTCGTATTTTCTACTTTCAGAAAGAACTTGATTCGACTGCCACTGAACTGGCCAACAGACAAGACGAAAGTGATGCTTCCAGAAAAAAACTTGTAGAACTTAGCCGAGAATTTAAGAAGAACACACCTGAGGTAAGATAGATTGCAAAAAAAGAGATATTGAAAAACTTTGTCATAGCATCTTTGAATAATGCTATATTTCATCCTTATCCCACTGAATCTAAATAATGGACTTGGCCTGCTTTGAATTTGGAACAGTCCATTTTATGTCTTAAGGTATTTCAGTATCAAAATTGTGTTACTAACAGAATGAGAGCCAGCATGGTTTGACACTTCACAGAAGTGCAGTTGATGGCACATTCTAGGTTTTTGTTGGCACTAGCAATGGGAGTGACCATGGGATAAATAACTTAAAAACATCCTAAACTTAAACAATGTCAAGACTGGTATCATGGGACAATTTTTGAATATGATTGTGTCCCCTTGTGGCAAAGGGGTTGCCTTTAATGGTTAAGGCTTACGGTAAGAATTGCAGCCACCGTCTGTCCCTGCATAATTGTATAAGTTGACTAAATAGATTCCAATAACTGTAGTTTATGCATCTCTTTACTTCAGCAGGTGAGGTGGTTTTGACCTTGAAGTTTGTAACACCCTAGATTAGCCAAAATCATCTTTCCTGTTTTGGCACCATATGACCTATACTGTGTTGATAGGGTTTATTGATTGATAAATAAGCCACGTCAAGACAAAACCAACATAATGGGTTTGCGAGCAGCATGGATCCAGACCAGCCTGCGCATCCGCACAGTCTGATCAGGATCCATGCTGTTCGCTTACAAACTCTATAACAAGTAGAGAAACTGATTGCGAACAGCATGGATCCTGATCAGACTGCGCGGATGAATGAATTTACACTCTAGAGTTATCTCCCACTTGTGTATTTCACTAAAGTGCATTGGAAAGATATGTTTATATTTACGAAACAATATAAACTTGTTCAATATGATAACTCATATCTTTGTACATCATTACCACAGTGCAAGACTATTGTAACTGTATAATAAAACAAAAACAAAAAGCGGACAAAAAATGCAATAGAACAGCATGGTGATGAAAAAAAAAAAATCTTTTTTTTTTTGATCACCCACAGAAGTTTTCTACTAAATAAATTGCTCTTTGCTTGAACACAAACATTTCTATAGTACAAGCTAAATGAATTAACATCTCTTATATAGTACAGTTTAGGCATAATTCCGCCTGCAAACGAGATTTTTACTGGTAATTTGAAGGGGGAAACTTCTTTTTCAAGCACTTGATCATAATTATAAGATTTCTAACTTCTTTGTATAAGGAACATAGCATCAGTGTTAACATTCAATATATGTTTGATTTTAATGCGTGAAACACTCGTCTAAAGTGTAATAATTTCAAGTGCATATTTTCCTTCCACATGTGCATATCATTATATATGGGTTTAGAGTTTGTATATAATCCATTGAAAGATCTTGTGTTGTGATTGAGTAGAAAATAATGAAGTCATTGTGATTTTCAAGTAAGAAAAGTCTTGGTCAGCAAATAAAACATTTAAAATCTTTAAAAAAAAATGCAGTGCATTCCTGGCATAATTTAGTCAAATGATTCAATGGTTGATTTAGACAATGTATTATGACAATTAGTCTGGTTTAAAAAAGTTGAGTAGTTAAGTAAAAACTTATCATGTAAAATGCATCAAAATTATTTTAGTAGAATATATATTATTATTTGGTGTTCATTAATCAGGGTTTTCATGTGGGTAGGGCCCCTGCAGTGGCTGATTCAGCTATGCTTGAATAATTTTCAAAATGGGTTGCAACACTGAGCATCAAGTAATGTTTTGTATTTTCAATGTTTTTTTCCTTGAATATGGTAAATAACTTAGTTACTTAGTAATTTGGAAAAAAAAAAGAAAGCAACAAAATAAAACAACAGTACAACATAAATATTACCAATATCCATCAAGAAAGACAACTCTGCTAAAACTTCATTTAGAATTATCTCCCTTTATTCCCAATGCGTTTTGCATGACTTTAGATATTTGAACTAAACAAATGTGCTGTTCAATATCCTTTGTTATTATCATTTATTATTTCTTAGTCTTTTAAGTATTTCATCAAGATTTTCAACAAGAAAATCATGTTGTTGTTGTTGCTTCTGCTGCACAAAAAAAAAAACCCATGACAGAATTCAGAATTTGTTAGAAGTACTTGCATGACAGATTCAGTTAATCAAACAATTAGAGTGATGTAAATTTCCTTCATTAGAAGGTATGTGAATAAACTTACAATGACAACAGGATATAGATAATTGACAGTGTTGTTGCACAACTGTACATTCTAGGCATTTCCTAGTCAATTTTGTGAAAGATATCAATATGTATCACTTGTGCAACATAAATCAAAGCACAAAACATTCAAACATAATGTGGTAAGTGAATTAGATAGATTTGAAAGTGAATTGTGGGAGTATGACAGGACGGTCTTGTACATGATAAACAAGCATGCATTCGTTTGTTTTTATGGAAAACACTTTACCGGAAATCTGTTCTCTATCTTGTTATAGCACTTTGTCACAAAATTAAACGGGGCGTCAATGGCCGAGTGGTTAAGGTCGTAGACTTCAAACCACTTGCCTCTAACCGCTGTGGGTTCGAATCCTGATAGGGACTTTGGATTCTTTCATGTGAGGAAGCTATCCAGCCAGCTTACGGAATGTTTGTGGTTCTTCTCAGGTGCCGAATCGTGCCTGAAATAATGCACGGAAGGGCACCTGAGGTCTTCCTCCACCAGTAAAGCTGGAACGTCGCCATATAACCTATAATGTGTCGGTGTGATGTAAAACCCAATCAAAACACAATCAAACATGTATCAATGTACCAAATTTAGAATGCAAATCATCAGCAGTTTTGTGACAAAGTGGTTCAGGACTCTGACTTTAAACAACTTGTTCATCTATTCACTCTGGGTTTGAAAAACCTCAAGGTTTGAAATTTCAGATTCTCTGTTCTGGATATTGTCCCACAAGCTTATAGAAGTTTGGTTATACTAGTCTGGACCTTCTTATGCCTGAAATATTGCAAGAAAGTGGGACCAGAAGCAATTCCCACAACAGTATATAAAACTATTTTATGACTTCTGTTTCAAATCTCAGTATTTTCATTGGTCAGTATACTTCCTGTGATGGTTTCTAACTATTCAAATACTTGAGATCTGAGTTTAAGCTTAGAAAAATTCTTTATAACCTTGGACCCTGCTGGTTCTCCAGTAAAGCCAACCAAAGAAGGAAAGCAAAAACTACAACAGTTACTAGGTTACATTCAAAGAATTTCCAATGTATAGATTTTCCTTAAGCCTCAATAAGGATAAGTAACTTTCTTATCATTCAAGGACAATGAGATAAAAACAGTATATCTGTGAAGTGCATAGTAAAAAATATGTAGTAATCCATCTTTTGTCTGAATAAATCTATACATCCTATGCAAGCCAGCCTGGCTTATCAGCATAGAACTCTCCATTTAATTTTTGCAGACATTAAACAAAGACACTTTACTCGACTAGGTACATTCAAATCAAACCCCTGTTGTGTTGTGCCAGTAAAAAATCGCTTTGAAATCAGTAGGCGGGGCAACGGCATTTCATGTTTTCTCAAGAATCAAGTCTCGTTTGCCACTAATTGAAATTATAGGATCTGCTCAAGGTAATAGGAACATTGAATTATCAACAAGTATATTTTGTATTGAAAAATATTTCTGGTAATTGATTCGTTTGAGATTTTATGCGTGTTTTTGATTTTAGGATAGATTAGCGTGGAGTTGTTCCACATATTTCCTGCTTTGTTTAACAGGGGGAAAAAGACGTAAGAAATGATTTATGGACTTTGCTTTGAATGCTTAATTCTGTAAGGCTTTTTATAAGAGGCCCTTCTACAATATAATAATGAGGTATAATAAGATGAACGAAGATTATCAATGTTAACAGAGCACCATAAGTTGATTGTGTTATAGTGGAAATCTATGTGTATAATTATGATAATCTATTAAGAAGTGTTTTGTATTAATCCTTTATTTAACCTCTAAAATAATATGTTTCAGGGGGAATTTTTTTTTATTTAATCAAGAAGTTCTGTTAATTCATTTAAATTTTATACAACCAAGGCATGTACTGGGATAAGCTTACTTTAGCTCAGTTATAATGTTTTTTTCATTCTTTGAGAAATTTAGATTTAAAATGTTCTTGCACATAAATTATTAATATAGCTTTATAATATAACTTGTAGGCTTTATGTTTGAGCCTAAGCTGTGAGACAGTCATTGACAGGTCATGGCCAACTGCACAAGTGACAGCCATTGTCAGGTCTTTGCCAACTGCGCAAGAGATAGCCATTGTCAGGTCTTTGCTAACTGCATAAGATTCAGCCATTGACAGATCTTTGCCAACTGCACAAGTGACAGCCATTGTCAGGTCTTTGCCAACTGCGCAAGAGATAGCCATTGTCAGGTCTTTGCTAACTGCATAAGATTCAGCCATTGACAGATCTTTGCCAACTGCACAAGTGACAGCCATTGTCAGGTCTTTGCCAACTGCGCAAGAGATAGCCATTGTCAGGTCTTTGCTAACTGCATAAGAGTCAGCCATTGACAGATCTTTGCCAACTGTGCAAGAGACAGCCATTGACAGGTCTTTGCTAACTGCATAAGAGTCAGCCATTGACAGGTCTTTGCCAACTGTGCAAGAGACAGCCATTGACAGGTCTTTGCTAACTGCATAAGAGTCAGCCATTGACAGGTCTTTGCCAACTGTGCAAGAGACAGCCATTGACAGGTCTTTGCCAACTGTACAATCATCAGCCATTGATAGGTTTATGCCAACTTAGAGGGACACAGTCATTAACAGATCATTGTCAACTGCATTTGACAGGTCTTTGCCAATTGCTCAGGACACAGCCATTGACTAAGGTCATTGCCAACTGCGCAGGAGACTGCCATTGACAGGTCTTTGCCAACTGCGCAGGGGATGGCCATTGACAGGTCATTGCCAACTGGTCAGTGAAAAGCATTTGACAAGTCTTTGCCAACTGCGCAGGAGACAGCCATTGAC